ACCCAGGCTGCTGAGCCACCTGACGGCCCTGCTCAGCCCAGCACAGCAGCCCAGCGGGGTCGGGGCGGTGGGGGGCGGGGATCCAGGATTATGCTGCTAGCCCAGGGGCCCCCGAGAGGGCTTTGTTCAAGGGGCCACTGCAGAGAGGTGGAAACAGTCCTCCAAACCCAAACAGCCGCTCTGGTCTTTAGGGTCCAAGCGGGAGGGTAGGGCAGCGCCCATCCCGACTCCCGGGGCTGGGGTGAGGAGCCCACAGCCCCAAGGTCCATGGGAGGGCCATGCTGGCAAGGGCCCCAGACCCCTGGGCGTCCCGAAGGCCTCCCCACCTCCAGGGTACAGACGAGAAGAGCCGGAAGCCCACCCCCACTCCACGGCGAAGGAGCGGCCTCCCGAAGCGGAGGCGCAGAAACCCACATTCCGCTGACACCGTAAGTGTCGGAAGGAGGGCTCTTCCCTGACGGGCCCCTGGTGATGGTTCTCGTCCCACAGCGTGGGGACTTCAGATCTGAGTGTGGCCGTCTAGCCCCCTGGCCCAGGCTCTGGATTTGGGGGTCTTCCGGACAAGTGGGGTGGGGGCCGTCCCACAGGGCAGATCTGGCCTTCCCATTTGGCTGTTCTGCTGCTCACTGGTCCCCTCAGGCCGCTGTGGCCCAGGGAACCTGATGTGCAGCCGCGGGCCCTCTAAGGGGCCCTCTGCCGGATTTGCCCCGATAGGCAGGCAGGAAAATCCCATGGGCGTCCCTCCCCTCCACCTTCTCGGCACCAGCTGGCCCTTTAAGTGACCTCCTGGCGCCCGTTCACCCCAGGAGGCAGCAGGACCACGCCACCACAGGAGCTCCCTCCCCTGGGCCTGGATGCCCTTCCCTGTGTGCAAGCTGCGGTTCCCAGTGTGGCTGTGGCCAAGGGACAAAGGCGCCACCCAGCCCGCCTGCTGGCCCGCGGGGGCCCCGCTCCCTCTGCCTTCCTGGGGACCTGCCTGTCTCCACAACAGAGCATGGCCTGTGCCTGGTTTCCAGACTCCCGTGGCCTTAGACAGGGAAGTAACCTGTGGGACGGGGTATTCCCAGATCCCTCTTCCCGGTCTCATTACGCCTCATAAAACTCCCCGTCATGGGGTGGACTCTGTTCAGTTGTGGGGGCCTCATCTTCCCCCTGAGTCCTTCATCCCCATCAGGAGCAGAGGGGGCCCGGGCAGGTCAATCCTCCTCACTAGCAGACATCCCTCCCAGGTGAGCCACTGCATGCACTCTATTTATAATTCCGGAAGGACAGGCGCCCTGGGCAGGGCGGCAAGCTGGGCCTTTCGAATGTGAGCCATCTGGGGAAGCCAGGGGACCGGGACGGGAGATGCAGAACGAGCATCATGCTCAAGACGCTGGCTCCCTGGACAAGGACAATCCTATGGCTTCACGTGAGCACAGAGCACCTACTACGTGCCAGGCCCTGAGCACACAGTCAGGCAACAGGGCATGATGACCACACATGCTAACAGCGCCCGCCGTGGGCCTGGCTCTGGGCCGACTGCCTTCTCCACATCTAGTCATTCAATGAAACAAACACAGAATGGAGGTAATTCGGACATGGATCAGTGTTGCTAAGAAAACAAAGCACAGCTGCCTCGGAATGGGCACCTTGTCAGGGACAGAGGGGCTCGTGACACCCGAGCTGAGGGCTGCATTAGCACCCAGGGCAGAGGGAACAGGGAATGCAAAGGCCCCAGAGTAACAGAGGCTGGGCCTGGGGCTTGATGCCCATGCACAGGAGCACGGGTGTGGGGGGGCTAACAGGCAGGCAGGGACCGGGCTGCTCAGGGCCTCGTGGGGCCCAGAAGGGAGTCTGGAATTATTCGGAGATCAGTGAGAATCACAGAGGACTCTAAGCAGGTAGGCTATGTGATGCAGTCTATATTTTAGATCATGCTGGCTGTTGGCTGGAGGACCAGAGGGGCAAGACTGGAGCCTGCTGGGTGGCTGGTGCGGTCTGAGCTGCTGGAGGAGAGCCCAGGACAGAAGAGAGGCCGTCAGGTGGCCTCCGGAGGCTAGCGAACCACTGGTTTGGAGAGTCACGACAAAGGCCCCCTGGGGTCCTAAAGTCCCTAGAGCCACCCAACCAGCTCCTGTCCTGAGTGGTGGGGACTGTCTCTCCCTGGCCTGATGGCCTAGATAATGTTGCTAGTCCTTCGGTGGCCCTGGGCTTCCCCAGGGCCAGGCCGGACAGCTCTGAGACCCTTCCCAGGGGTCATCGCACACCCCCCTGCTCCCGCATCTCCTAGATCTGTGATCCCGGGTGTGGGGAGTCCCTCCCGATGGATCCCTAAAGCTCTTGCTGGCTGCCCCACACCTTGGGCCCGCAACATTCCTTGCGCTGGGCGGCTTATTCCCCAGCTACCTTGCTAGACAAAGAACTCTAGGCCGGACCCATTGTTCTGCCCCCGGCCCTGCCCGAGCCCTGCTTCCCCGATGGGCAGGTCCTGACCACACGGCTGGTGCCCACTCCCCTTGGCAGAGACGCCAGGCCAGCAGAAGCCAAATTCACACCCGCCCGCACACGCTCCCGGGGCCCTGGCTCGGAACCACCCGCTCCCAAGTCCAAGTTCTTTGTATTCAACCATCACTACCCTGCCATGCAGAAGATCCACTATCTGCTTAGACATCTCCCCAGACGAGCGGCCAGCCCCGTGAGGGTCACCAACCCAGCCCAGGCCAGTGCAAAGCCTCAGAGGGCTCATCCTTCGGTGGTAAGTTCTGTTTCCTAGACCTGTAGGCTTGGTAGGTCACGGGGCAAATCCGGCCCCCTTCGGGGCGGCTGTGAGCAGCTCGAGGACCTTCCTGGGCAGCACGCCTGGCCACCACTGGGAGGTCACAGCACTGTCCTTCTGCACCACCCCAACCCTGCCACTCCCACCCGACCCAGGGACCCCACGGGGGAACCACATCCGACAGTTCCCTTAGTGTCGGGATGTCTGGGTCCTCCTGTCGCACACTGTGCAACCCTGTGCTCGGCCCTCTGCAGCCCCCATCCTGGGGTTCAGGCCTCACCCCTACAGCTGGGGGCTGGGTCTGCACGGTTTCTCAGCTGCGGCCGCACACCTGTCGCTGGGACAACGAATGGGAAAGGGGGCGGGGCGTGCTTCTGTCCCCTTGGGTGAGATCCCCTCCACCTGCACGCCGCGATGTGCGTGCATGCACATTCACGCTGGCTCAACCACGGAACCGGCAGACAGCACAGGCCCCCAGAGCACAGCTGTCAGAGACGCACAGGGGTCTTCAAACCAGCGGCTCCTCACAGAGGGCAGACCCTCGAGAGCGGAGCCTGTCAGGTTGCTCTCCCGGCTCAGGAAGCTTCCGGGAAGAGAGCTTTCAGACGGACATGGATCCCGGACATTCCCAGCATAGTAAATACCACGCAAAGGGGGAAGGGCTGCATTCGGCGTTCTGTCAAGAGCCAGAAGCAGAGCTTTGAAGACAACAGATTCGTTGCAGACCCCGAACCCTGGGGCCCAGGAAGGAGGAGCTTTCGGTTGGCTTCCAGGACGCCCTGCCCAGGCCTCTGCACAGCCCCCCACCCCCGCAACTCCCCACGGCGAGGCGGGTCAGAGGGCCCTCGCCTGGCCCATCTGCTTTGTCACCTTTTCTAAATCCAGCCTGGTAAGACACAGCAGACAGACCCACTGGATGCCTCCTCCCTGGCACCCCGCGGCCTCTGCCCCGCACACGTGCCACACACAATAGGATCCGCAGCTTGGGAGCTTGAAGCCTGAAGGGGGGCCGTCAGACTGGACTGCCTGCCGCTTGCAAAGCCTGTCAAGTTCGAGGAGCCTCAGGGCCCCGCAAAACCAAGGAACGGGGGTAAAAACACAGCTGAAAGACCACTCAGCCTGCTCTTGCTGAGGGCAGGGTTTTTGCGCTCTGGGACCTGGATCCACACCACGCACGCAGATCCAAGGACACACACATCTAACCCAGAGGCTGTGCCCACGTCCCTAGCTGTGACACCCTGGGCCTGTCCCTGGCCTGGGGGCTGCACCTGGGGACGATCCCAGCGGCCCACCTGTCAAAGGCATTTTGAAGGGGTTCGGGCAGAAGGGCAGACACGTACCTAGATTCTTGTGTAGACAGACTAGCAAGTTCGTAAAATCCCAAGATGGCAAAAGAGCAGAAATCCAACCAGCTGGGGCAGCAAGGCCTGGCCTGGCTCCGCTCAAGGACGTGTGGGGCAGAGAAGCCTACCTCACCCGAGGACCTGGCCACATCCCCAGACACTCCAAATCCCAAGTCCAGCTGGCTCCTGCCGGCAGGCAGCCCACAAGGGGGAGGGGCAGTGCCTGGGGAGCCCAGGTTGGTGAGTGGCCCCTGGGGGCTGCTCACAGCGCACCCCCCCACCTCCCACCCTCCCGAGGATCCTCAGGTGCACAGGACCCTCCTGTAGACTCATGTCTGCCGCCCCCCAACACTTGCTACGACCCCATCTTTAGGGTGTCAGTGGCCTAGAGATGGTGGCTGTGGTGGTGGGTGAGGCAGGGGTCCTCCCTCAGCCCAGGCAGCCTCTCACTCTGTGGGCCCAGACACCGCCGCCCGCCTTAGGAGCCTACAGCGGCGCTCGATGCCAGTCGCGGGATGCAGACCCGACCCAGGGTTGGTCGGGCCGGGGGCGTGCACGGCCAGGCCCCCCACCTCCGAGGCCCGGCTCCTCCAGGTCCTGACAAGCGGGAAGCGGGCCCCACCAGCGCCCCGGCCCGCCCGCCCGAGCCTGGGACGCGCCCTGCGCCCCCCGGGGGCTCCCCGCCAGGCCGCTGTCGGGGCGCGCCGGGCTGCGCCCCAGTCCCCCGGCCCCCGCGGGCCGCGGCTTGGGGCTCCCCGACTCCCCCAGCCGGCCGCCAGCGGCCCGCCGGACGCTCCGGGCCCTCTCGGCCACGGCCCCGCCGGGCCCCTCCGCGGGCCCTCCCGGCCGCCTCCCCGGCCGACCCCGGCCCCCCCCGGCCGCCGCGCCCCTGCCCCTACCGTGCCGCGACTCGGTGCCGGCGGGCCGGGCGCGCGGGGCTCAGCTGGCGGCGCGGCCCGGCTGCAGGAAATGCCAGAGGACTGATCCAACCGCGGAGCCCTGGGAGGGAGCGGCGGCAGAGGGAGGAGGGATGGGAGGGGAGGGGAGGGGGCGGGGAGGAGGGAGGGCGCTGGAGGAAGGAGCCAGGGAGGAGCAGGGAGGAGGAGGGAGGGGGCCGCAGCGGGGAGCGGAGGAGGGAGGGCTCGGCGGCCACAAAACCCGGGCGGGATCCCCGGCGCTGGAGCGGGGCACAGGGACCCCAGGCTTCCACTGCTCCCCTTCTCCCTGGCCGGTCCGGGGGCTGCTCCCGCTGCCGCAGCTCGGGCCGCTGGGCAGGGTTGATGGTGCTGAGCCGAGGTGGGGTCGGGGGCAGCCTGGAGGGGTCCTCCCATTTACGGGTGCGAGAGAGTGCCACGGTCACGGATGCCTGGTGGCCTCCAGCCCACCCTAGCCACAGTCCAGGGTGCCCCCTCTCTCTTCCTGGGACCCAGAAACTGTCATCAGTTTTCCTCTGGGGACAGAAGCCACCAGAACATGAGTTACCCCGGAAACCGGAGCCCTTTGTCCTTGTCCTACAGGTATGCTAAACAGGACCCCTAGGTCACACCTCATGTTTCTAACCGCACCTCCTCCTCGGGACTCTTGCTGGGAACCCACCCTCCTGCAGATTTCCTTCTGTGTACGCCCCCTCATCCTTCTGTTCCCAGAGGCCTTTTTAGACCCTGAGGCCCTCTTGTATAGAAAAGACACTCATTCTGTGGGTGGAAGCTGAGGAGGTGAGGGTCTTCCCCAGCCCCTCACCTATAGGCCCTAAAGTGGTGTGAGCTCCTCGCTGGCCCCAGGGTCTCTCCAGCCCTGGCCCCCCAGGCTGAGGTGCTCTAGGACCTCAGTCTTCAGAACTGCCAGGGGCCTCTGGATAGCATCTATCCCTCGGAGGCCAAGACGGGGTGAACTGGGCCCCTTCCAGGCATCCCCAGACGAGGTAGGACATGCAAGGGCGCAGAGCCTTTTCCAAAAGGAAACCCTCACTCAGTCCCCTCCCTTCCGAGGGATGGGATTGACCCTCAGCTGAGCCCCAGCCTCCTTTCCCACGTCTGAAGCTTCTGGCCCACAGGTGCATTTCCACCTTTTCATTTTATGTTGGGCCAAGAGTGCCCCAAGAGTAGCCGCTAAGCCTGATGGTCGGGGGATGCAGCAGGACCACCAGGCAGGACTGTGGGACAAGCCCGGGATATTTGGCTGCCCAGTGGGGTCCCCTTCAGGCCCTGGGACTGGAGAGGGCACTGGGGGGGAGCCATTGTCTACCTTGGCTCTGCCCCCAACCAGCCAGGTGGGTGGCCTGGACCAAACCCCTTCCCCCAGCCTCAGCACCATGCACACCTTTTAGACCAGGTGGTGGTCCCCCCGGGGGCATAGAAGCACCAGCCACTGATGGTTATCAGAGGGGCCATGGGCTGGAGGTGGGGTGCCTGCCTGAGCTCTGAGCTCATCCCCAGGACAAGCCTGCTCCCACCCTAGAGTCACCTTGCAAGGCCTTCGGATGCAGAACTGGTCAGACAAGATGCTCAGGGCCACAGTGCCCCCCCCCCCCCCCCCCGCCCCAGCTCAGTGGCCTGTGACAAGCGGCTCCCCCTTCAGGAGAGGGTCTGCTCCGTGCCCTGTGCGGGGCTGACGGACACTGGCCGGGACTACTCTTCACTCTCCGAAGCCTCTGCACAAAGCTGGGCTGTGGTGGCCTGGAGCCCGGCAAATTGCTGGTTGCCGGGCCAGTGCACAGGGGACCAAGGAATAAAACAAAGCTGTTCTCCCCTGGGGCGGAGGTCTCAGGGGCCAACGTAGGGAAAGTTTCCGGTCACTGGTGTGGCTGGCTACGTGAAGCCAGCGTGATTTCACGAAATGGGACTGCTGAGGGCAGAGGTCAAAGGGACACCTGGTCAAATGACCCCAGCCCAAGATGACAAAGGGGGGAGTGGGTCAGAGGGTGGAGCCGGATCAGCTGGGATGGATCAGCAGGTGGCTGCATGGGAAGCAAGGAAGGTGCCACCCTGCTGGACACAGCACTGGACTCTTCCAGAAAGCCCCCCTTCCAGGTTCTTGCCTGGTTTTGGAGAGACAGCATGCTCCAGAAAGCAGCTCAGTCCCTGGGCAGGTGACCTGTTCCTCTGGGCCTCAGCTTACCCACCTGTCAAATGGAGGTGGTGTATGTGTGTTGTGGTCCGTGCAGGAAACGACACTGAGGAGGGGCTCGGGGCTGAGCAGAGCGGGGGGCTAGCTGCCTAGGAGCCGCGGGGGTGTGGGCAAGGCCCTGCAATGCTCTGCCTTGGTTTCCTCACCTAGAAATGGGGCCAACAGGAGTGGCTTCCCTTCCTCCCCCGGCCGAGCGTCCCCGCGTCCCCACGTCGCCAGGGCAGGAACAGACTTCTGAGCTGACCCCCGGAAGAACTTGCAGTGTCTCTACACAAGAGCCACTGGCTTCTTACTCACTTCTGGTTTTAGGGTCAGACAGATCTGCCCGTGAGAAGCAAGACATGTACAGTGCTTTTGCACATGTGGACCTCACTCCTGGGCAAGGAGGGTACAGCTGAAAGTTAAGTCTGATGCAATGTCAGCCTCCCCTCGAGGTGGCGTTGGCGATGTCTGGGGACGTCCTTGGATGTCACAACCTGGGGGGGCAGGTACTGCTGGCCTCTAGTAGGTGGAGGCCAGGGATGCCGCTAGGCACCCGTCGCCACGCGGGACTGCATCCCGTAACGGGGACGATCTGGTCCCAGAATCCCTGCTCTGGAATGAAGAAACTTTTAACTGTTGGGGTCAGGCCTTCGTTCTGGGTGGTTGGCCGGTCCTTGGGGATTGCTCAGCCCCCCAAGATCTCCTTTGACAGACCCCCACCCTATCTCATGTTCCATGCTGAGGGGCTCTAGACACATTGACTCAGTTAAACCACCCAGCCACTTTATGGGGCAGGCGCTGTCGTGATCGGCTCTGTTTGACAAATGGGAGAAACTGAGGCACAGAGCAGGGACATGAGTCACCAAGCTCTCACAGTGAGTGAGGATTCACTCCCAGCCTCTACACCCTGTGGCCTGGTTAGTCAGGCTCAGGGAGCAACTCTCGCAAGCCCTCACCCCTCCCGCTATACCTGACTAACTCCCTGGTGAGGGTTAGGGTAGCCAGACACGACAGAACACACCTGGGCGCGTTTCAGAGCAGGTGCGTGCAGGGAGGGGCTGCCGGGCGCTCCAGCCTCTGCAGGGCCAGGCGCTGATGGGCCAAGGGCCCAGGGGGAGGAGAGCTGAGCCAGGTGCGGTGCCGACGCATCCTTACCTTTGCTTTCTGAGCCAGCAGGGGCTGCAGTACGATTTCTCCCCATTTCTCAGCTGAGGAGACTGAGGCCCAAGTCATGCGGGTGTGCGTGGGATCCCCTACTCCTAGCTGGGCCCTGATCCTGTTACTCTGGGCAGCAGTGGAACAACCTGGAGGTTTGGGCGGGGCAGGTGAGCCTGGGCCCAGCGGCCCTCCCTGCTCCCCAAGGGCAGGTCCACCCCCGGGGCGTGGCCTGCAGAACTTACCGGCCACTCAGGGACAGCTCTGGAAGCGTCTCTGCTGTGAGACCCCTCACTTCCTAGTCTGTTTCCTCACCTGGGCCCTGGGGCCCACAGCCGGTGTGTTATGTTGAATGTGGAGCCTGCATGGTCTCCAGAACACGGCAGCTAATCATAAAAACAACTGTGGCATTTATCCGTCTCTCACTCTGTGCCTGGCACCATGTTCCCATTTTCCGCGTGTGACCCCACTGCATCCCCCGCTCCCTGTAGCTGGGGGTCACCATTCTCCCAGCAGCAGGGAGGGTAGGCCATCAGCTCGGGCCAGGCAACTGGGAACAGGCTGAGGCTGGCCCCCTGGCGTCGTGTCCCCCCCCTCCCCAGGGCAGGAGGCAGGCTCTCCCTCTCCACTCCTCCAGACTGGGCGGGACTGGTGTCCACGGCCTCAAGTCCCACGGTGGAAGGTGGAGCAGGAGGTGGGGGCCCCGGGGAGGAGCAGGAAGGCTCCGTGTCCCCTGACGTGGCTCTCCTTCTCCCCACGGAGACACGGTATGCTGATGTCTTCAGGAGCTGAGTCACCCAGCAGGTGTCAGGGCTAACTAAGCAGGGGCTGTTTTCCGTTCTCTCGGGGAAGCCTGGGAAGTCCAGCAGCAGAACCTCCCTTCGGAAGGCTGGGAGGGGGGGCGCTGCCACCGCGCTGGGGCTCCCTGAACAGGCCTGCTGCCTGCGTGGCCCTCACACGTGCCCTCCCTCTCTCTCCTCTGTCTCTCTTACACACGTACCCATCCTCCAGAAAGACACATCCGAGCCCAGGGTCCAGGCAAACACCTGATGGTAATTTCCCACTCTCTTGCTGACAGTACTCGTTCTCCTACCTGGGGGGACGAGAAGGTGCTATTTATAGGGCACACCCCCATGTCCAGACTCTGGGGAAGCTGGCGTGGCTTTGGGGCTCATGAGGAACAGGCGGTGCCGAGTGCCAGTGGACGTGCTGACGTACCCATGCCTGGACCCCTGCGCGCACCTAATGGTCGGTTCTTGGCAGGTGCAAATCCGGGCCGGCAGACACGTCCTCTGGCCCTCCTGCGTGGGGTCAGTGCCTGCAGCATCCTCTGGAGCAGTCGGCATTGAGAAGGGAGCTGGACGGCGGCGGGCACAGCTGCAAGGTGGGGTGGCGTGCATGGGGAAATGCCCTGAGGGTGGATGGTGCCCGGAGGGGCAGGGCCAGCTCACTCACCTGCAGCCGCGGGCTCCCACAGGGCCCACCTGCAGCTGAGCGGGGACTTCTACTGCCTGTTAGAGACCTCTTCCCCCAGCAAGAGCAGCCTTCAGAGGGCGCCTGGGTGGCTCAGTCGTTAAGCGTCTGCCTTCGGCTCAAGTCATGATCCCAGGGTCCTGGGATCGAGCCCCACATCGGGCTCCCTGCTCGGCAGGAAGCCTGCTTCTCCCTCTCCCACTCCCCCTGCTTGTGTTCCCTCTCTCCTCATCTCTCTCTCTGTCAAATAAATAAATAAAATCTTAAAAAAAAAAAAAAAGAGCAGCCTTCAG